TGCATATGAGGTTATTGAAATTCCATGGCTTGAGTCAGGCACACCTTAGTCCTCAAACCGCTATCTTTGCTCTTGAACACTGTAACGAGGTCTTGTGCAGCAGATTTGCCTAGTGCAATATGTCATTTGATTTCTGCCTCCAGGAATGTTGAAGCCATTGCTTTTGTTGTTGTCAAGTGCCATAGAGTCGATTCTGATTCACAGTGACCCTGTCTAGGGTTTCCAAGATATATGTTAGGATTTCACATTTAACCTGCATCTTAATGTGTCTTTCATAGTTTCCACCTCATTGTTGTCCCTGCACTGAATTCTACTTAGTTACTTTACATGTATCTCCCATTTTACTAGTTTCTCTCAGCTGTATCTAACCTGCTATTTCGCCTAACTACTGAATTCATTTCTCAGCTTTTATCATGGTCATTTTCAAACTTACAGAAAAACAAGAGTGAATACTTCAATGAACAGATGTTGTACACATCACTCAAGTTCAACAACTTTCAGTACACAGCTAATGTTGATTCATTTACATCTCACTAAGCCATCATCCCGGCTGTAGATTACTTTAAAGCAGACCCCAAGCACCTCATCTTCCACTGAGCTTCACTTTTAGTTAAACTTATTTCTATAAGTTCCGTTTATTTCTTTTACCAATCTACTCTTTCTAGTTCTTTCCTTATTCCTTGCTCATATTTTATTGTCTTATAATTTTAAGCGTGAAATATATTTCTTTTAAATTCTGTATATAATCATTCATATCTTGGTGTTTTCTACTGAATCTTTGTCTGGTAGCTTATTTCCACATGTGTGTTTTATTATTGCACACAGAGAGAAATCTTCTGGAAAGATATGTATTCATTATTGCCACATGCCAGATGCTCCAATGGATGCCCAATCATTTAATCTTCCTAATCTGGCCTGGTGTGGCACTGCAGGATAATGTGCTGGACTGTAAGGTCAGTTTGAGTCCAAAGGTTGGTGGTTCAAACCCACCAGCTACTCCTTGGAAACCCTATACAGGGTTGCTATGAGTGGGAATTGACTCAATGGTACTTCACAACAACACAACACCTTTGCATGAAAATTGTACTCCTTGGTATATATAAAGAAACCGAAGTTCAGAGAGGTTAACAATGTGTCTAAGACCCCCGCTCCATAAATGACAAAGTGGAGTTTACATTCAGGCCTGCCTCAGTCTGAAACTGGCCCCAACCCCCTAACCATTCCACAATTCACCATCTACAGTGGAAACAATCAAGTATAAACCATGTCATCGGCCCTCTGTTGAGTTGGTACATCTGAGGGTTTTTTGTGGGGTTCTGCAGGGGCCCCCAAGGAGACGAAGAGCCTCATGAAGGACTCCTATACCCCAGAGGTGATTGAGAAATCGGTGAGGGATACAGAACACTGGCATGGCAGGAAGACGGATGATCTAGGTAGGTGGGGAGCTGGCAGTGATGGCAGTAGGCATTCCCTTCCGTAGGCAGGGTGTGTTGGCTCCAAGGTCCAAGCAAGAGTCCTGGGCAGGAGAGATATAGCCTGGGGTGGGGCCAGGAATACAAGAGAAGTGTGTCACCACTGGGTCCCCCCTGGGTGGTCTGTGCTAGCCCCTCCCCTATTCTTTGCAGGCCGGTGGTACCAGAAAAATGCTATGAACATGAACTTGCAGAAAGCACTGGATGAAAAATTTGGAGAGAAGAGCAAATCCAGGGGCTCGAAATACTAAATACATCACCAAAGGGGCGTCTTCTGCACAGATCAAGTGCAAACAATAAAGCAAGGCACAAATCTGAACCTTCTCTGCTCAGGCTGGCTGTATATGCTGGGGTGGGGTGGGGTGGGAGGAGAAACCAGGAGCGCTCCTGCAGAACCCCTCCACCCCTTCTCACCTGCTCTTCTGATCTCAAGAAAGACGTGGGAACTGAGTGGAACTGTCTCAAACCATTGTGCTTGACTTCTTCCTCATGCCCAGTGTAGAAGGACCCAGAGTGGGCACTTGCTGTTGTAACCATCGTTCTAGTTGTAATCTTGGTCACACCCACATCATGACTGGGGTGTTGCTATTGTTAGTTGTTGTCGAGTCAGTACCGACTCATAGCGACCTTATTATACACAACAGGATGAAACATTGCCCAGACCTCTGCCAACTTCACAGTCATTGCCACCTTAGAGTCCATTGTTGCTGCCACTATGCCAAACCATCTCACAGGAGGTCTTCCTCTTTTTTGCTGACCCTCCACTTTGCCAAGCATGAAGCATGTTGTCCTTCTCCAGGGACTGGTTCCTCCTGGTAGTATATCTGAAGTATGAGAGATGAAGTCTGGCCATCTTGGCTTCTAAGGCACATTTTGGCCGTACTTCATCCAACACAGGTTTGTTTGTTTTTCTGGAAGCCCATGGTACATTCAATATTCTCCTCCAACACCATAACTCAAATGCATCAATTCTTCTATGGTCTTCCTTATTCTTTGTCCAACTTTCACAGGCATATGTGGCTATTGAAAATATCATGGCTTGGGTTGTTGTTGTTGTTGTTATGTGCTGTGGAGTCATTTCCGACTCATAGTGACTCTGCATAGGGTTTCTGAGGATGTAAATCTTTACAGGAACAGAAAGCCCCATCTTTCTCCAGTGGAACAGCTGGTAGATTGGAACTGCTGACCTTGAGATTTAGCAGCCCAAATCGTAACCACTACGCTACCAGAGCTCCTTAGAGCTATGCAAATAAGGTGCTGTGGCTCACCAAGGGGATTGTACAGCTTGCTCCAACTACAAATAAAGTGGGTGCATGGAACCCTGGCAGGGGTGGGACCATAATGAGGGGATTGGTCACTTTTGCTGTACCGATAAGTTTAAAGGAAGATGGGGGTAGCATGGAAGGCAATGGGGAGAGGACGAAAGGGAGATTAATGCAAGATAGCGGAGAGATGGCAGTGTCGTAATAGCAAGAGCCAAGGGCTCATGATAGCATAGCATAGTATGGCATAGCATAACAGAGCATAGCATAGCATAGCATAGCATAGCATAGCATAGCATAGCATAGCAAGAGGACAGGAATCTGGAGTCTGGCAAGAGTTTGCTGCAATGAGGCATGCTGACACGCAGAGCTAAGAGCTGTAACCAGGGCTTCAAGCTGCTTCATTTTGTGTAGATTCCAGGCCATGAATCTGCACTCCCACTGCCCCCATATACTGAATCAGAATTGACAATGAACAAGATCCCCAGGTAATTTGTATACCTTCTTATGCATACATTAGAATCACTGGGGGCCTCATTCCTTGTAGATTCTGATGCAGAATATCTGACATGAAATATCATTAAATGTTGAGAACCTATGCATTATATAATCATATATATTCATGTGCATATATACATATATAAGGAGCTCTGGGATCGTAGTGGTTACGAATTGGGCTGTGAACCGCAAGGTCAGCAGTTCGAAACTACCAGCCGTTTCACGGGAGAACTATAAGGCTCTCTGCCTTGGAAGCCCTGTACAGGGTCGCTATGAGTCAGAACCGACTCCACGGCACATAATGCCTGCAACATATATGCATATATATACACACATACACACACACACACACGTATGGAGGCCTGGGGTGGTGATGTAAAATAAGCACTAGACTGCTAACCATGAGGTTGGCAATTCAAACCTATAAGCTACTCTTTGGAAACCCCATACAAGGTCGCTATGAGTCAGAACCAGCTCAATGACACTTAATAACACCAATTCCGTAGTAATGCCTTAAACTGTAACTGGCCTTTCGAAGCAGTTTGTCTTGTTGCACTTAGTTGCACTGAGGTGCTCAGGCTGTGTGGAACACTTGACTTGTCCTTTCAGAAAACGTCAATGGATGTGTTCAGCCTCCAAGACTCCACAGATCTTACAGCCTTTGCTTGCTGATCCTGGTGGTCTCCAATGCATGAGCACATACTGCTTTATTTTAGGATTTATGTATTCTGACAGTTTCAACCAGTCAAAAATATTTTTGCTCAACATTCCTGATGAAATGATATATGTTGTTCTTAGGTGCTGACTCACAGGTACCCTGTATAGGGTTTCCAAGGAGCAGCTGGTGAGTTTGAAGCACTGACCTTGCAATCCACTGCTTATCCTATAGTGCCACACCAGGACTCCATATATAAATACTCTGAAAATCTTATTTAATCGGAACATGGATTTATTTACTCAGTAATGTCATGTTGCTCAACATTGAAGTTGGTTGTTGTTGTGTTGTTGTATGCCGTGGAGTCGGTTCTGATTCATAGCGACCCTGTACAGGGTTTCCAAGGCTGTAAAACTTTATGGGAGCAGAAAGCCTCATCTTTCTCCTGTGAAACAGCTGGTTATTAAGCCTGCATAAAAAAAAACAAATCAATTACCATTGAGTCTATTCCGACTCATAGCGACCCTGTATAGGTTTCAGAGGCTGTGAATCTCTAGGGAGCAGAAAGCCTCCTCTGTCTTGCATGGAGCAGCTGGTGGACTGAAACTAATAAAAATATAGTTTCTAGCACAGTATTCATCCACTGACCAAATCAGCTGGCCTCAGGTAAAGCAGATTCCCACACACACACAAAAACAAAAAACAAAAAAAGCAAACCCATCCCCTGAAGTCAATCCTGATTTTAGTGACCCTCTAGGTACAGGAACTGCCTCGTAGGGTTTCTAAGGCTTTATTAATCTTGATAGGAACAGACTGCCCCATCTTTCTCCCACACAGCGGCTGGTGGGTTCCAATTAACCATCATCACAGCACTTTACCTTCCACAAAGTGGGTGGGCTTCAATTATTTCAAAGCCTTAAGAGAAAAATGGGAGTTGTTCCTAGGGTCTGTTTTGCCTCCAGAAATTTTTGCCAGGATGTCTTACTCTTCACTCTTGTCATTGGCTGAGTCATGGCACAGTGGTTAAAGTGCTTGGCTGCCAACTGAAAGGTTAGCAGTTCAAACCCACCAGTCACCCTACAAGAAACAGATGTGGCAGATGCTGGGAAACCCTATGGGACAGTTCTAGTCTTGACTGTAGGAGACCTGCTAGTTGAGACTGGCACAACAGCAGTGGGTTTTGGGTTTTGTTGTTGTTGTTAAGTGGCATTGAGTTGCTTCTGACTCATAGTGACCCAGTGCACAACAGACCAAAACACTGCCCAGTCCTATGCCAACCTCACAATCATGGCTACATTTGAGCCCATTGATGCTGCCACTGTGCCAACCCATCTCGTTGGGGGGTCTTCCTCTTTTTCTCCAACCTTTCCCCTTACCAAACATGATATCCTTCTCCAGGGACTGCTCCCTCCTGACAATATGTCTGAAGTATGAGAGACGAAGTCTGACCATCCTGGCCTCCAAGCAGCACTCTGGCTGCATGTCTTCCAACACAGATTGGTGTTAGCCATCCACAAGTATGAGGGTCAATTGTTTGAAGTAAACCTCCCCCTCCCCCCCATCACTAGCTCTGTTTCTTCAGGCAGATGGGATGGGGGAGTGATCGTCATAGATGGTGTCATAGAGTCTTAGACATGAATAGGTTCTTTCAGGTAGACAAGTAGCGGTAAACATTCCAGATGTAGGCAACACAGTATGAACAAAACCCCAACATGGTGTCTTTGGGGAGCTGCATGTAACTTGGTAGCTGGGAGGATAGGGATCCAGGGAGGACACAGAGATGAGATGGGAAAGGCAGAGTCTGTGCTAAATAGGGGGAGGGGATGCCCCTGTAAGAGTCTTAGATGTGATTCCCAGCCCTTCTCTCCAAGAGCATACAGTCTGGTTGGAACATGAAGGGTTAATAATTGTGGGACGAACCACATAGAAGAATTTTAAAAACTCAATATCCCCAATGGTGGACCCTACTGTGGCACTGTAGGATAAGCACTGGACTAGTAAACACAAGGTCAGCCGTTCAAACCTACCAGCCATTCTCAGAAACACCATACAGGGTGGCTATGATTCAAAACCAACTTAAGGGCACACAACAAGGATTTCACCAACATTGATGCTGGTTGTGAAGTACTGTCAAGTCAATTCTGACCCATAGCGACCCTGTGTAGTAGTTCTGAGGAGTGGCTGGTGAGCTTGAACAGCCGCCCCTGTGGTTCAAACCGACTTTGCAATCCAGTGCGTTAACCCACAGCACCACGATAGATGCACGTGAAAACAATACATCAAGTTGACTAAAAGGAAAGTGTAATATAGGTGAGATGGATGGCAGTGGAAACGTGCATACACTCCATGACTCACAAAACAACTCTTCTGGAAAGTAGCAAGAAAGTACTTAGCAAAACTGAGGTGACACACTGCGATTCCATTTCCACAATAGCCTTGAGGAACTCTTAGATATGCACACATGGCGTCCCTTACAAAGATAGCTACTGTAGCCTGGTTTGTTGTGAAAGAGCCTGAAGGTCAGCAGGAGAAGACAAGTAGGATGCTATCTTATGCAGCAGTTGAGAGGAAGTTGCCCCACCATCTGCATATATCAGCGTGGACAGATCTCACCATACTTCAGGGTGGGCAGAGCCCTACAGTGTGATCCCCAAATACCCAAAGCCATTACTGCCCAGCTGATACTGACTTACAGACAGAGAACTGTCCAGAGGATTTACAAGGCTTTCTGGAAGCAGACTGCCACATCTTTATCCCTATGAGGGGCTGGTGGGCTCTGCTCACCAACCTCTGGGTTAGCAACTGAATGCTTAATCACTGCTCCACCAGCCTTCCT